TACTTTTTTGTAAAGTATACAAACATGTCGTTTAAATGTATATCATGTATGATTGTTCCTCGAAGTGGCAAGGGATCATGAGTGAGTAACTGTAACGGATGAGAGACTTCACATATATGTCGGCGTGGAACCGTTGAGAACGATGACAAGTTTATTAGGCAGTTCTCGTTTCACAATTTATCAACATCAGTTCCAGTTTCTAACAGAATATTCTGTTTCGTTTTACATTTCTCATTTTCTTTGCACCAAAATAAGTCCATTGGTTTTCTTACCATATTTCGTTTTGCAGACCTCGCAAAAAACACTGGAAAGACTTTCAGTTCAAACTATCCGAAGCTTTAAATCGTTTCTCATGTCACGTTCTCGTTCATGTGAAATAATTTCTTCACTGTGCTTTTTACACTTTGGCGAATTTCTCGGTACCGCCAGCAGTAAACAAGAGGATTTAATGATGAATTGAGGAAGATCAAGAATAACGATGCGTAATAAGCTACGAAACACGAAATGTCACAAGTATTCGTCATGTACAGTATTACTAAAGGCAAAGGAGGAAGATAACAAGCTAGAAAAACAAGATAGACAAAAATAGCATTATAGGCGGACTTCTTTTGTCGTAGTACCTCCCTTGTTTGGGCATTTTGAAACTGATTTTGGCTGTATATCTGATTCTGATGATATTTGACGACTTTGTAAAGACGAACATATGCTACGGTGGTCAAAACATACCCTATCATTAAAATGACTGCAGCTACTATTTCATTGCTTGTTGGAAGGAAAACGAATATGAAGGCGGTGATACAACTTATCAACCACAAAGACACCAATGCTATATTAACACGTTTGGGTGTGATAAGCTCCTGATATCGCAGATGGAGCGAAACAGCGAGAAGTCTATCAAATGCGATGACAATAACATTCAGAAAAGATGCAGTGCCGAGAAGATACACAAAGTAACTTTTCACACCCAAAACTGTTGGACAGAAGAAGGCTGTGTTGTTTCCACTTGACGCCATCTTCAATATCGAGGCGCTGATAATAGCGCCCATATACTGCGAACACAATGCAACTGCAAGATAAGAGAAAGCCAGACTTAGAAGCTGCTTTTTCACAGTAGCTGGTATCGTTGAGGCTTTCATTAAGGCGCGAATAACTAAAAGATTTTCAAGAGTCGCCACGACAGAAAATACAAAGTGTAAAACACGGAAAGCAAGGAGGGAAGATCTTCTGAGTAGTCTACTATATTGAAAATTATCCCCGTTGGTGCCTTCCCCTGCATGCCTTCCGTCTGCCTTCCCTTTATTAATATGCATATGGGTCGAGTCTATGACGTCACCCATTGTTATAACCGAGGGAAAAAATGCCTTCCTCTATACTAATAACTGTCTTCCTGAATACTAATTCGGTATAGGTTTACTAATGAGCGAATACTACAATAGGCACAATAGGCTTAGCTTGGCTTGCCCCGTAAGTAACTTGAGCCCGGTTTTTGGACCGTCTATTAAAAGGAATAAGAGAAGCGATCACCTAGCAACGCGAGAAACGGCTTCCTATATCTTATTTAGCGCTAAAACTCAGATATATAAACAAAACACGTATAGAAAGTGCAGTTAAAAAGTCTTTATTTCTATTTAGTTTATGTCTTCTTATTTAGCTCTAAAACTCGGATACATAAACAAAACAAACACCCATATACACAATGAGGAGCTGAAAACTCTCTATGTCAATTTTGTCTGACTATTGCAGAACTGTTTTCTCCTTTCTATCTCGAGGACATGAAAAACTATCAAAGTCTCAGCGTTTTACGCCGTTAGTCAGTTAATTATGCGAGTTCGCAAGCCCAAAGTTGAATACAAATTAGCTCTACAGGAAAAACCCAAGGGAGCACCTTGACGTATTATTATATAAACAATTTTAAATAACTTAACAAGGATCAATTAAAACACGCGACTAATAATTGCTAGCAATAAAACCACAAGAGAGATACCGTTTTAAAAACTTTATTAAAAACAATGACAAAAAGAGTCAAATACAAAGCGATTTGTAACGAATGGAAATTAATTAATCTTCTTTTCTTCGTTCTCCTCTTTAGAAGTGGAATAGAAATTGGTTTCCAGCGTCTTCGCGTTTTTGTGTGTAACTGCTCCACAATCATGACACCGACGAAAACCCTCTTTCATGTAATTTCACCCCTCGGAAATGTGGTGGTGGTGGTGGTGGAGGGAAAAAAAATAGAAATGTGGTGGTGGTAGAGGGAAAACAATACAAATGTGGTGGTGGTGGTGGTGGGAAAACAATACAAATGTGGCAGTGGTGGTGGAGGGAAAACAATAGAAATGTGGTTGTGGTGGTGGTGGTGGTGGTGGTGGTGGTGGAGAGAAAACAATGCAAATGTGGTGGTGGTGGTGGTGATGGAGGGAAAACAATAGAAATGTGGTGGCGGTGGTGGTGGTGGTGGTTAACCCTAGCTACCTTTCATATAAGCCATCTGCTGTGACACGTCATATAGCCGGTTGTTTAACTAAAGCCTTAGACTCAATGTTTATAGGTAGATTGCAAACAGAAATACAGTCTGATCGTTGATATAAATTTTAAGGGTTCAAATGCTGAGTTAAATTGTGGAAAACAAGGCCAATCCAGAAAACAACGGGAATGCCGGTTTTGCGACAGTAGTATTTTAATACTACTTTAATACTACTAATACTATTTTAATACTACTTTAATACTACTGTATTGTTTTAAAAAAACAAAACAATTAAACACCGCAATATATAGTCCGTTTCATCAAGTTCCAATTACCACTCTGTCCTTAATTGCCAGTGACATGTGGGCTGTTCCCTGCTAAGTAGAACTTCTTCTTTAATTGACAACGGTCGGTGTAAGCTTGGAAGGGGAGTTATTTTCTCTTTAATAATTCATCCGACCAGCAAATGATGTACACATAAAATAATGATGGATTTTATTTAATTTTATACTTTTATTTAAACTTATAAGGAATCTGACGTAAGTTTTCAGTTAGTATCTTTTTGGTAGTTCAAGGTGTCGTCGACGAGGCGTTTGAGTCTTCAAAGTCGAAAATGTTTCTGAAAAAGGACCGAAACCTTATTTTTCAGGCTCTTCTCGTCCTCCTTCTTCTTTCTTTGAGATAAGCGTCAATTGGGGACTCACGACAACGTAATCTGAAACTCTTCTCAAATGCTAACAAGTATTTGTGTTCTTCTCTAAAGAGCCTTAACATGGCAACTTTCGCTTTAGGCTTACGCCGTAGGACGCATCTTATCTCGTACCCAGATTTTCCACGGTCAGGCGAAAGAGAGACTTTGTATTTCAAATCGAGACATACGTACAGTTGTAAGCAACTTTTTTGTCTGGCGATTGCTCAGATGGAAATCGTTTCCATCTTAAAAATTCGCCATTTTGTCACATTTTTACTTGTTCTTTGGTAGTAATCGGTACATATACAGTTTTTTAAGTAAGTGCCCTAAAGGTTTCTTGTTGTTTCACAATTCAGAGAGCAGTATTGTATTGTAACATGAACGTTCGTCACGTTCTTATGTCTCCGAAATCAGATAGTGGAATTTGAAATGCTTTTTCTTGGCGAAAGTCTAAGACCATTTTGTGCAAGAACTAATCTTCTTGGTCACATATAAACCCTCATTTGTTGTCCCTACAGGTTTGCTATAATAGTAGTTGGGAGAAGTTGTTAAAGAATCTGTGCGATCATGTCCCCAGTTCTCATTATAACAACCCTGTTTTATAAACGAGAGATATTACTAGGAGAAATTTGATGCTGATAATTTTTAGGGCTTAAAGGATTAAGCACAGTCAGGCCATCACATGACAAAATCCTCATATTAAAAACTGCAAGGGGTGACAGGCCGCACATCTTCACCGACGTGAAACCTTTGAAAATCTTTTACATATTGCTTCAACGAGGACAATAACAAAAACAATCTTTATTCCGTCTCACTCTTGCTTAACACTAAATTACGACAATGAAAATATTGGAAGTAAAATTAGAGTACTGGGTGCCTGGAATAACTATTGGGGCTAGCGGAGCCAGAGAGGAGAACTCTATCAGGGATTTTACAATTTAAAAGTTCTACGATAGGTGGGCTGTTATGCCTGTTAAGTTGATACAGCTTCTATAAAGCCGACCAAAGAAAGGCTCAGTGCATTCTATACGCAGCAGAGGAAAAATTCAACAGGCAATTTATTCAGTTTGTGTGCTTTCTGTTGAATTTTATCTCCGTTTTATAAGATGTCTGCTTAAAATCGCGTGAAAGTAATTATGATCATTTTCCATAGCTTCTGTTATCTTAAGTATCCGCTTTAAATATCTCCGTACAGTTGAGGTTTACGCGACCTCAGAGCACGATGTTTAGCTGTGCACAGCATACATTCTTTAAATATGTCCAGATTAGATTCTGGGTATCTATCGCACCTCTGGTGGAAGCATTATTTAAATACGTTATAATGCTGTGTCCTTTAAATGTCGTTTTTTCACTCAATCGCTTTGTGAATGTGACTGTAGTTTATTAGAGGATAGTATTTAAAAGCTTGCTGTAGTTTCGATCCATCTTTTCTGAAAACTTTAGACACTAAGTCGCGTTTTTATTAAGGTCAAAATTTGGAAAAAATAAGAGTCTTGACTTGCTTTTATGTCAAGTATATAAACATATCGTTTAAATGTATATCATGTATGATTGTTCCTCGAAGTGGCAAGGGATTATGAGTGAGTAACTGTAACGGATGAGAGACTTCACATATATGTCGGTGTGGAACCGTTGAGAACGTTGAGAAGTTTATTAGCCAGTTCTTCGTTTCACAATTTATCAACACCAGTTCCAATGTTTAACAGAATATTCTGTTTCGTTTTACATTTCTCATTTTCTTTGCACCAAAATAAGTCCATTGGTATCGTTACCATATTTCGTTTTGCAGACCTCGCAAAAGACACTAAAGACTTTCAGTTCAAACTATCCGAAGCTTAAAATCGTTTCTCATGTCACGTTCTCGTTCATGTGAAATAATTTCTTCACTGTGCTTTTTACACTTTGGCGAATTTCTCGGTACCGCCAGCAATAAACAAGAGGATTTAGTGATGAATTGAGGAAGATCAAGAATAACGATGCGTAATAAGCTACGAAAAACGAAATTTCAGAAGTATTTGTCAGGTACAGTATTCTTGAAGGCAAATGAGGAAGGTAGCAAGCTAGAAAAACAAGATAGACAAATATAACATTGTAGGCGGACTTCCTTTGTCGGAGTACCTCCCTTGTTTGGGCATTTTGAAGCTGATTTTGCCTGCATATCTGATTCTGATGATATTTGACGACTTTGTAAATACGAACATATGCCACGGTTGTCAGAACATATCCTATCAGTAAAATGACTGCAGCTACTATTTCATTGCTTGTTGGAAGGAAAACGAATATGAAGCCGGTGATACAACTTATCAACCACAAAGACACCAATGCTATATTAACACGTTTGGGTGTGATAAGCTCCTGATATCGCAGATGGAGCGAAACAGCGAGAAGTCTATCAAATGCGATGACAATAACATTCAGAAAAGATGCAGAGGCGAGAAGATGTATAAAGTAATTTTGCACACCCAAAACTGTTGGACAGAAGAAGGCTGTGTTGTTTCCACTTGATGCCATCTTCAATATCGAGGCGTTGATAATAGCGGTCATAAGCTGCGAACACAGTCCAACTGCAAGATCAGAGAAAGCCAGACTTAGGAACAGCTTTTTCACAGTAGCTGGTATCGTTGAGGCTTTCATTAAGGCGCGAATAACTAAAAGATTTTCAAGAGTCGCCACGACAGAAAATACAAAGTTTAAAACACAAAAAGCAAGGAGGGAAGATCTTCTGTGATGAACAAGTTGAATGTAGGAATCAAGCAACCGAGTGCAGAACTGTTCAGCCATGGTTTAACTTTTCAAATGATATAGATAATGTTTTCCTTTTGGTAAAATATCTACATTGATTAACCCCTCGGTTAATTAGCTACCTTTCATAAAAGATATCTGCTATACATGTGTCACGTTATATAGCCGGTTCATTAACTAAAGCTTTAGATTCAATGTTTATAGTTAGAGTGCATACCGAAATTCCTATTGTTGGTACAAAATTGTAAGGTTTAAAACACCGAATCGAATTGTAAACAAGGCCAACTCAGAAAACAAGGGAAAGGTTTTACGACATTAGTATTGAAAACAAAAAATTAAACACCGTAATATATAGTCCATTACCATTATATAGTAATATATAGTCCATTACCATTAATTACCTCTCTGTCCATAATTGACATGTGAGCTACTCCCTGCTGAGAGGAACCAGTTGCTTAATTGGAAACGATCAGTATAAAAATAGAACGTTAAATCATTGTAAAACTTTGAAAGAGCGAGTATTTTCTGTTTATTGATCCGACCAGCAAATGATTTACACATATGAAATAATGGTGGATTTTTGTTTTAAGCAATTTTTCACTTTGAAAAAATTAGCACTTGTTCCTTAGTTCAAGGTGTCGTGAGCTAGGCTTTTGAGTCTTCAAAGCTGGTGATGTTTTTAAAAAAGGACTGGAAACTAATTAGCCTCAACTGGGGACTCACAACGGTGTTATGTAGTCTGAATGGACTAGCGCATAGCGAGCTCAATAACCTTGCTCGTTTGTAAGCTCTACACCACTAAATGCACAAAAATTAGGATTCCAGTGTATAAATATGGAACTGAAAGTGACACGTTCGTCACGTTCTTGTGTCTCTGACATAAGTTAGTGGAATTTAAAATGCTTTTCCTTGGCGAAGATCTGAGACCATTTAGTGCAAGAACTAATATTAAAAATTGTAATATTAAAATTCAAATTCTCATTTGTTGTTCCCATACGTTTCCTCATGATAATAGTAGTTGAGAGACGCTGTCAAAGAATCTGTGTGATAATGTCCCTAAATCTGATAACAACCTTGTTTTCTACAGCAGGGATATTACCAGGAGAAATTTGATGCTGATCACTCTTAGGGCCTAAAGGGTTAAGCACAGTTAGGCCATCACATGACAAAATCCTCATAGTAAAAACTGTAAGGGGTGACAGGCCGCACGTCTTCACCGACGTGAGACATTTGAAAACCTTTTACATATTGCTCGAATGAGGACAACAACACGCTAAAAAAACTACTGCTGGGAGACAAATAAACTATTGTAGGCGGACTTCCTTTGTCGGTGTGCCTCTCGTGTTTGGGCTTTATGAAGGGAGGGAAAATACAAAGTTTAAAACCTAGATACTAAGGAAGAAACCTCTCCTGTAGGAAACTAGTTTAATCCAATAATCCAGAAATCGATTGCAGTTCTTTTCAGCCATAGTTTGACTTGTCACATTACATACATGTATTTGTCTTGGATAAAACTGATATCTACATTAATTACCCCCTCGGTTTATTAGCTACTTTTCACATCGGCCATCTGCTGTAGCGCGTAATAAAGCCGGTTCATTATCTAAATCCTTAGACTTAATGTTATAGGTAGGGTGTAAACAGAAATTTAATGTCATTGTTCAAGGGTTGAAACAACGAATTAAATTGTATAAAACAAGGCCAACCCAAAAAACAATGGAAGGGGAAGGTTTTGCAACACTGGTATTAAAAACAAAACAATTATTACACACCGCAATGTATAGTCCTTCCATCAAGTTCCAATTACCTCTTTGTCCATAATTGACATATGTGCTTTTTCCTGGGGAGAAGAACCGTTTCTTTTTAAAATTGCAAATGCTCGGTATAGAAAATAGAACTTTAATTCATTCTAAAACGTTGAAAGGGCGAGTTTTTCTTCTAAATTTAACCGTCCAGCGAAATTTTTGAAACATAGTAAAATACAGATGGATTTTGTTTAGTTCTATTCTTTTATTTAAACTTTTGACACAAGGTTTCAGTTTTAAAAAGTTTAGCACCCATTTCGTATTGACGGTGATGCCCGCTCAGCGAGGCTTTTTAGTCTTCCAAGCCGGTGAGGTTTTTATAAATGGACTGGAGCCTAAAATTATGGACAGTTTTCGTCTTCCTTTGTCTTTTTTTGACATTTCTCTCAAATGTAGACTCGCGACGGTTTTTCTGATAGGAATAGCGCGCAGCGAACCCAAATGACCTTGCTTATTTGTAAACTCTTTTCTAATGCCAACGAGCATATGTCTGCGTCTCTAAAGAGTGTTAAGATTGCAACATTTGCTGTAGGAAGCTGTAGGCGTACGTCGTAGGACGCATCTTATCTCGTACCCAGATTTCCCACGGCCAAGCGGAAGGGAGACTTCCTATTTTAAATGGAGACATGCATACAGTTGTAAGCAACTACTTTGGTTGTCGATTGTTCGGATGGAAATCGATTACAGCTTGAACAATGGCCATTTTGTCACATCGTTACTTATTCTTTGGCAGTTATCGGTAAGTCATTGTTGTAAGGATATTTCTTGAAAACGATAAGGATCTTGCACTGTAGCTAACATTGTACATTAAAAGGGAAAATGCTTTTAAGTTTCTCTCTGTAAGAAGTGTTTTCACGATGAAAAACAGAGCTGAGTTTTATTCCTTAAATGCTCTGAAGGCGTCTTCTTGTCTCGCAATTCAGAGACACCAGATCCAATTTCGAACAGACCAATCTTAAGTAGGTAGTTATTATAACAAATTGCCTTGCAACCAAATGTTTAAAATGCTGAACTGAAATTCACATTATACGTTTTCTTGGTCTTTTTGAGCTGCAAGTCTATTGGTTTTCTTGCTTAATTCCATTTCGTAGAAGTTGCAGAACGAATTAAGATCAAAGGTGTCTTTTTGTTTCTCTTTCCAGGCAGACCAATTCCAATGTCGAATGCGCCAATCTTTCTCTTTCACACGTTTCCTTAGTCTTTGTAGCATTGCAAGTCCATTGCATTTTCTCACTTAATTTCGTTTCAAAAAACTTTACATTACATTTTTAGTTAAAACTATCCTGAAGTTAAAGTCTTTTCTTATGTCATATTCTCGTTCATGCGAATTATTTTCGTCACTGTGTTTTATACAATTTGGCGAATTTCTTGATACCGCCAGCAATAAACAAGAGGATATAATGATGAATTCAGGCAAACTAAGAATTCCGACGCAAATTGAGCGACGATAAACGAGATTTTAGTGTTGTTTGTCATGTACAGTATGGTACAGGGGAAAAAAGGAAAGTAACAAGCTAAAAAAACTACTGAGACAAATAAACTATTATAGGGGGATTTTCTTTGTTTGTGTGCCTCTCTTGTTTGGGCATTTTGAAGCTGATTTTGACTGTATATCTGATTCTGATGATATTTGACAACTTTGTAAATTCGAACATATATCACGGTAGTTAGAATATATCCTGTTACGGAAATAACCGCAGCTACCATTTCCATTTCTTTTGGAAAGAAAATAAATAGGAAGGCGAGGACGCAACTTATTATCCATACAGACACCAACACTATTGTAACACGTCTGGGCGTGGCAAGCTCCTGATATCGCAAATGGAGCGAAACAGCAAAAAGTCTATCAAATGCAATGAAAACAACATTCAGGAAAGATGCAGCGACGAGAATATACATAAAATAATAAAGCACGCTTAAAACTGTTGGACAAAGGCAGGCTAAGTTGTCTCCTCTTGACGCTATGTGTTATGTATGTGTTATGTTATGAATGGACTAGCGCACAGTGAGCCCAATAACCTTGCTCGTTTGTAAGCTCTTCCCCACTAAATGCACAAAAATCAGGATTCCAGTGTATAAATTTGGAACTGTCTTTCGCTCTCGATTGCCCAGAATAAAATAATACGCATGTTGAAAGTGACACGTTCGTCATGTTCTTGTGTCTCCGACATCAGTCAGTGGAATTTGAAATGCTTTTTCTCGACGAAGATCTAAAACCATTTTTTGCAAGAATTATACTTGTCACATACACCTAATTGCAATAACGTTGTCATAGAAAAAAGCAAAAAGCAAAAAGACAAATAGGAATAAATTAGCCATGTGATTTACATTTGCGTATTTTAATTCAGGATTTAACAATTATTTAGGAATTCATTCACAATAACAAGAGATCATTCTGTAATTCCGCGCTGTAAGATAGACAGGCGCCATAGTCATTTTAGAGCCAACTTCTCCATCAACAGAAGTCGCTCAATTCGAAAAAGAAAAAGGTAAATTGACGCGAGCAATATTAAGTCTCAGTTGTCGCACTTTCAGTCGCCAATCTATTATGTCCTGACAAACGAAGCTTGGTTTGTGGCTCAGGTGAGGAACTGGCGGAGGACCCTCTTACCCTCTCCGCGATGAAAAGTCCTGCCTACGCCCCTGATTTGTTGCTTGAAAATTGTGATCAGATGGTGTTGTGCACTGCAAACAATACGCAGACTGGCTTTCTTATTTACCACTAATCTAAAACACGTATTGAGTTCCTGGAATTTACCCCAGGCTATATTTATTGAAAGAAAAATGGTGCCATTACTTCTTTGGTAGTTATTCGATGTGCTTTGTAATTCGAGCACGTTTGAAATTCGCTAGATAAATCAGCCTGGAATTGCTTTAGAATGGCACCAAGAAACTGATGCAAATGATTTCTCTCATATTACGTGATTAATATTCAGCTATAAGCGTGTGTGTTGTGAATGTTGCAAGCTATGATAATTACATGCTAATTAATTCCTATTTAACTTTTTGCTTTTTGCTTTTTTCTATGACAACCTTATTGCAATTACGTGTATTAACCCTTTAAATTGTAATTTCTATTTTCAAATTCTTATTTGTTGTCTTTATACATTTCCTATAATAGTAGTTGGGAGAAGTTGTTTGTTCGGAACTGAATTTTATATTCTGTTAGATTGTTCGGACGCGTGGGAACCAGGCCCTAAGTTAGTCTTCAGGGGCTCGGACCCCCCTTTAGTTTTTTCGACATGCGTTTTTTTCGCTTGCGTTGTAAATTCTTGTAGTTTTGTTCATCATGTTTATGTTTCGTAAATACAGCTGATTTATGCAAGAAATCGTTTTATTCATGGTCCTTCGGTAGCCGGATCTACAGTGTCGGCGAGTATTTGAAGATACCAGCGGAGAATTGAGAATTGGACCTCCGTTTGTGGTGAAGAATTTGGTCAAGTTGGTCTTGGCAGTGCGGCGATTGGCGCCATTATCTCTTGTGAACTTTGCAGAAATTTTGGAGTGTTTTAATGAACGAAACTGTCATTCAAGGTTAGTGGAGATTGTGTATGAAAATGGTGAATGACCTGGAGGCTATTAAGAAGAAAAGACGTTTTCTTAGAAAGTCCGTGACGGACACCTTGAAGTCTATCGACGAAGCTCTGTCAATCCCCGATAACCATGCTAGAATTCAGGTTTTGAAAGATAACATTGCAAATAAATGGAACGATCTTCAAGAAGTTCAGGCCTCAATGTGTACTCTATTGGAAGAGAAAGAGATTGA